CAGTCTCCTGAAACCTAGCTTTCGCCTAAGAAACTAAGGGTATGATTTTAATTAAGAAACTAAGGGTAAGATGACAGTTAAAAACATGCATAAAGCCCCAGGGACAGTATATGGTAGGTGTCTTCTCACCATCACTCAATACAATAAGTAGGGTTTCCCCCCTTTGAGAAATGTGGGAATGCATGTTCAGAGAGGTTAAGCAGCTGGCCCAAAGGCACACAGCTAGTAATTTAGTAAAACTAATATTGCTATGGAACCTCTGACGGACACCAAACTACATTAACTGCTGGACTTTATGAAGAACTAAAATGTTCTTTGTGTTCAGGAATTAAAACGATTACCACCCTGCCCAGTGTTGCTCAATGGTTAGAGTGTTGGCCTGAGCACCATAGGGTAACTGGTTTGATTCCCAGTCAAGGGCTGAGTTGCGGGTTTGCTCCCCAGCCCTGGTTGGGGTGCGTGCAGGAGGCAACTAGTCAATGTATGTCTATTACATCAATGTATCTCTCTTTCTCTCTCCCTCCCCCTTCTACTCTCTCTGAAAAGCAATGGAAACTGTTTCTTCAGATGAGTATTAACAAAAAAGAAAAAAAAATGATTACCAAATCTCCATGTAGAAAATCTGTTCTAGAACCACAGAAACTCCTCAGTGAACGAAAGAGTTTCGTTTTTTCCTTTTGTTTGTTTGTTTTAATCACACTTCCTTAAAGAATCCTTTTCTTGTTCTTCCCTAAGCAATCTGAAAAGTAATTGCTAATATCTCAACGGTTATTAAGAAACACTTCCCACTGCATTAATACCTTAAAATTAAATATCTAAGTGGAGGATTCAAGCACCATAAACACAGAAGAGTGTAAGCAAGCATAATCTATAAATAGCTCTTATGAGATTGTAGATTATCTTCCTGCCACAAATCTCTCTCTCTAATATACCTCAAACTCCCTCCCACTCAACTGTTCCAAAAGATAGCTGACACTAAACTTACTCAGCAGCATCCCTTTTTCTAGGAGAGAGCTAACATTGCCTTAAGGAGCTGGCTAGCTGGAATCACACGCTGGAGTATGGTTTTGATACTCGAATGGTGGAAATTTTGTTCTTTGTCAGTGACACCTTGGAACTCGGGATATTCTTGATGGAAATTCCAGGAAGCCCAGCCCCCTGACTGCAAACAGGAAGACAAGTACATATCATCTGCTACTTCATGTCAACTGAAGGTAGAAACAGGAGCAGTGATTTGTTCTATCAAAGGAAGTTCCATTATCATCTCCATCTCCTCCCCGCACCACCCAGGAGATCCACAGTGAACAACCGAGGACAAAATGCAGGTACTCAGGGAGCTCCCAGTCTGGAGGGACTGCAGGGACAACAAGGGTGCAGGGACACAAACACACATACAGATAAAAGTCGGTGGAGAATGCCTTGAAGGAAATCAAATAAGGCAACAGAGTAAGGAGTTGTTGCTTTTTTTTGGGGGGGGGGGCTGCTTCCAGTGGGAGGGGTGTCAGGGACAGCTGATAAACGCAGCGATCACAGCTATGCCTGCGTGAGGTGACACGGTGATATATGGCTGAGACCAGAAGAAAGAGGTTGTTTTTTCGACTCCTAGGGACACCCAAATCTCGGCAACAGTAGCCTGGTGGAGAGCAGAGCTCTGCTAGTTTTAACCTCAAAAGCAGAGTTAATAATCAATCAAGAAACAAGTGGTCGCTTTTTTTTTTTTAATATATTTTATTGATTTTTTACAGAGAGGAAGGGAGAGAGATAGAGAGTTAGAAACATCGATGATAGAGAAACATTGATCAGCTGCCTCCTGCACATCTCCTACTGGGGATGTGCCCGCAACCCAGGTACATGCCCTTGACCGGAATCGAACCTGGGACCCTTCAGTCCGCAAGCCGACGCTCTATCCACTGAGCCAAACCGGTTTCGGCAAGTGGTCGCTTTTTTACTTCAATATTTCCCTCTTCCACTACACCCTTGTCTCTTTGCAAAGCAACATTTAAAGCCCCTGAAACAAAAAAACACTAAAGCGCCTCTGTGTTCACCAGGCGATCTTTGTGGCACATGGTGTTGACAGTAACAGCAGTAGCTTTGGGGAAGAGGTCATTACTGTGCGTACTGTTATTAGCACCCAGCATGAGGCAGAAAGGGCCTGGAGCCCTGGCATCATGCGGATACCAGCAGCCAACACAGAGGCGAGATAGAGAGGATGGTCACTGTGCTTTTCAGCGCAGGCTGGCAAATGCTGCCCGGCAACGCGCAACCATGCGGATTGCAAAACATGAAGGGCTCGGACTTGTGTAGTTTTCCGAACCGGATGGCTGACTATGGCAGATGCTGCTTTGCTACCGGGAGGAGCTGCCTATAAGGCTGATGTCCGCTGGTCAAGCTGATGTGGCCATCACCACCTATTGAGTATCTACACTCTGAAGAGAATCGTGGGTGTGCTTATTAACAGTGAAGATCCCCAAGCCCCACCACAGATTCTAAACCAGCAGGTTTAGAATAAGGGCTAGGCATCAACTTTCTTTTAAAAACTAACACCAAAATCAATTTTCATGCAGGTAGTATAAGAATGACACTTGGAAAAACATAGATTCGCCAACTTTAGAGATTCAGATTTGGTCCGAAAGGACAATTTTCAAACTCAGTCACCCACTGAGGTTTTTATATGTATGCATATGGTTTTTTTCTTTTAACCATTTCATATTCCACAAAGAATTAGAGATGGTTTAGTATGTGCAGTAACTCAGATAAGGAACATTCTGTGATCTGTTAGAAACAATTGAAAAATGTCCAAGACAATATAATCTACTGATTTGTTTAAAAGTAAAACTGTAAAAAAAATTAAGCTAAATAATAATGGTGGTGATGATAACGATATTCCACATTTTATATATGGACACTACATGCCGAGAATTACTCTATCCTCACCGTTTAAGTTAACAAAACTATTTAGAAAACTTGGCCAGACATTTGGGGCATCAGAAATAGTCACTATTGTAGTCGCTTGTTTATTTTTGGTTTTTTAAATATGTGTATTATTATTATTAATGGAGATATAATCCAAATACCATAAAATTCACCATGTGCAAGTATACAATTTAGTATTTTTTAGAATATTCTCAAAATTGCACAGCCACCACGGATACCTAATTCCACCACATCTTCATCACTCCACAAAACCCCTACCCACGGGCAGTCACTCCTGCCCCTCGCTCTCCAGCCCCTGGGAACCACTCATCTGCTTTCTGTCTCTATCCAGAGCCTGTTTGTACAGGAACTAATTTTAATGTCCCCTTCAGAATTCTGAAATGAGATTTTGAGATCCTGTACAGCCTATATGTTCGTATACATATTGGATATGTTTAGTATGTGCATATTACCAATCTGTGCATTCCACTGATTTGGTTTGTACTTTCTCCCATGCTACCAGCTGTGCCTCTATAGTGTCACTTTCAAGGGCTGAAGAAATTTCATCAAATAGATATTGCATAATGCATCCAACTAATCTGGTGTTGCTGGGATTTACATTTGAATATTGCGTTCTTTACAAAAAACTAGTAACCAGGTTTAGACATGTGTGCTTTGCATTTTAAGAAGCAGTTTCAAAAAGCAGCTGCTCCGATTATACCCTTCTTGTTTGCATCTGCATATATACAAGCCAGGCATGGAGTGGGCAGCGAGGTGGAGGAAAGCTGTGAGTCCCCTCTGCCTATCACACCACAGGTCTGCACAGTCAGGGTGCCAGCTCTTTCCTATCAAAAGGAGTTCGGTGACAGTCCCTATAGGACATTCCCTGCTCAAAAGTACTTCCTGGACATTCTATTTTAAAAGTTCCACAGTAGCTAAGTTAAACATTAAAGGCACATACAAACGGCCTGCGGACTGAAAGGTTCCAGGTTCGAATCCGGCCAAGGGCATATACCTTGGTTGTGGGCACATCGCCAGTAGGAGGTGTGCAGGAGGCAGCTGATCGATGTTCCTCTCTCATTGATGTTTCTAAATCTCTACCCCTCTCCCCCTGCTCAAAAGTACTTCCTGGACATTCTATTTTAAAAGTTCCACAGTAGCTAAGTTAAACATTAAAGGCACATACAAACTAAGATCGAAAGAGAACTACATTTATTTGGCATTGTTTGATCCAAGCATTCCCTGACACACTGACAGCCAGGGTCAGAGCCCCAGGACCTCACTTTGCAAAGTATAACACTAGCACCCCAGCCTGATTAGCTTCTGATTTCTAGCACCAGAGTAGGGGGAGAGGGGAGTGTTTTCTAAGACTTAGGCAGGGGACCTAACTGCATAGGAATTTGCATTTATATGAAGGGGCTGAAACCCAGCTTTGGCATCAGCAGGTGTTTAGTCTTTTACTTTCCTGGGGAAGCAGGGGCTATCCTAATAAATCCTCCTTTCCGCTTCCTGAACATTTAAAAACCCATCTTTGAGCTCCACTGACTCCATGAGGTTAGAATTTGGTATTGAGTACAAAGCGGGGAAAGGTACTTGTGTGGGCAGAGAGGACAGAGAGAAGCAGGGGTGAGGAGTGAAGGGACAACCTGGGGCTCCCACATCCCTGAGCCCTTCACTGGAGAAGGCAGAGGCAAAGCTGACTGTGTGGAAGCCCGAAGGGGTGTCAAAGATGCCCGGGCTCCTATGGGACCCACAAATCCACGCCCACCAGTACATATGCTCTTTCCTGGGCACATGAAGTCCCGTGACTGCAGTTTCTGTGTTAAGACTCCTTGATTTAGTTTCTGTTTTAGCAGGTGCACAATAATGATTTTATTACAAAAGGTCAACGTCTTGTAAACTAATGGGAAACATATTGCTTGGCAGAGTTTTTAATGTCAGGATTTATGTCCCTCACACGGAGGGTCTCTCTCTGACCTCGAAGATAACACAATGAAACAGCAATGTGCTGCCATGACTCAGTGTGAGTTTCTATTAGTTCTCATAATCGCCCCTGATTCATTTGTATGCATATAATGAGCACTCACCTTCACAGTCTGTCCAGCTTCGCGGCCATCCTACAAGGAGGGGAAAAACACAGAGGTGAGAACGGAGCTGGTATCTCCAGCTTATTCAGAAATATCCCCTGTTAATAATTTAGGTCCAATTTCATTGTGTGTTCATTTACATTATTCTCCTGGGAACCATTCGCTTCAAATGTGTGGGACCAAGCAGTTCTCCATTTCTACCTGAGAGTAAGTCAGAAGTTATGTATAAAAATGACATAAATTATCCAGTGAGCCAACCCCTTGCTACTTTTCATGCTCTTTGCTCTTGGCTATGGTTTCAGTTGCATTAAAGGGAGGTGAAGTATCACACATTTTGGTTATCTTTAAATCAGTTGTAGTTTAATTAAGGTCTGACTACTTTAAATCTCTACTCAGGAAATCTGCCATAAACAGAATTCATTAAGCAAGAATATGGGCTGTCTCATATGGGACTGACATCCCAGAGCATGCCCTACCTGGCTGTTCTGACCTTGGGGGAGAGAGATGGGAGTGTTCATTGTAGCCGGACCTTTTGCCCATTCTGGCTCCTTCTCTCAGCTTTCTGAAGCCCCACAGAAATATTTGCTTAATTGAAAATGAACAGCCTCACCCAGTCACCAGGCATCATACAAAGTCAAAGCGAGGGCTGAGCAGCTTTGGGATCTCAGAACAAGCAATGTGTCTACAATCAGAAATTCCAAACTGAACTAGAGCACTGCAACTTTAGGCAAGTCTTCCTACCACTATGACCTACACTAATGGGATGGGAAATCTTGCCCTGCGGTGGGGCCAGGGCTGTATGACCTGTGGTTTTCAAACTTGGAGTCACAACCCACCAGAAGGTCAGGAAGTCAACGGAATGGGTTGTGTCAACACTAAAAACAAATCAGATAATAGAACAAAATCTATTAGAATATATAGAATGGCTAAACATTGTCTTCTGAAATGCTGGTTTCCTATATGTATGTGCATGTGGGGGTATACATGATTGTGAAATAAATATATATCTTACTGTGGGGTGAAGTTAAAAGAAGTTTGAAGGTACTCAAAGCACAAGTCAGTTCTGTATTTATGGAATTAACTTTGTAGTGAATCGTGTGAGATACCCAGTACTAGCCATTTTCTGTATGTGTGGGTTTCCTGTTAGTATTTCATTAAACGCTGACAGCTGTCTTCCCCAGGTGCCTTCATTCAATCCCTCTGGAAACAAGATTTGTAGCATAAGTTTGATCACCCCACCCTGACCCTAACTGTTTGAGGAGATTCAAATGGTTTGACATACAACACACACACACACACACACACACACACACACACACACATACACACGGGTTTTACAGGGAAGTTATTTTTTATGAGAAGCAGATGAGAATTTCTAGTCAGAGCCTTTCATAACCTGAAAACCTTGACTTTCTTTATCTGTTCCATTTGGTAGAGAGCAGAGGAGGGCAGAGGAAGGATGTTAACTATTCAGTTCAGCTAAAGCACCGACTACAAGGTCTCATGTTGTGGAATAATCCATAATGCATTTCCCCCCCAAAGGGTTATTGTAGAGTCACCAACTTTCAAGGCTACAAGGACTTTACTATGTATTGATACCCACGGGGCACCGTTTGACAAGTGTTGACTCACCTCTGCCTGAGGGTCTCCAGGGATCGGGGGTCTCATTTCTTTACCAGGCGGCTGGCCACACAAACTATTCAATCCATGTAGAGTCTGACCAATCCATAATCAATCACTGAGACTTGATTTATGGACAGAGAAAAGGTCTGCTCTCTGCAGGCCAGGCCCCACCTAACTTGCATATCTCAACTCGACTGGAAGTTGAGCAGAGCTAAACCAGGCAGTGTTTAAAACAGTCACCATGGAATGAAAGTGTCTCGCCCAGCCCTAGCTCTAGTGAAAGGTATGGAATGCTGGGAAGCCCATTAGGTTACATGTCCGTGATGCCCACCTGTCTTGTAAGCAATGCTGCCGACATGATCTCAGCTGATATTCCACAGTCTACCGTGGGGTCCGTGGACAGTAGGGTGGTCCTGGATTAGTTCTATCCTTTTCTGCTATTATGTCAGACATGAATAACCACAGCCGCCTTCCCAGTAGGCTGGCCAGTTCAAAGGGGGGCAACGCCCAGAGCTAGGGTTTGAAAAGGAAGAAAACTAATCTCTGAGCATCTGTTCACTCACCTGCATAGCAAAAGTAAGAGAAGTCCCCTGGAAATGCTTTTCCACCACCGTGCTGACCCTTTGGGTCGCCTGAAACATATCAGCCACTTCATCGGGACGCAGATCTCGGAAGCGCTCCACTGGCCGAAGGGGACACACCAGGACATCTGCAGGGAGGTCTGTTAAGGATCACTCTGCTTGCTGTTTTCCCAGAAAGTGTATGCCCACAGGATTACATCCCCATCCCTTTTGTCTCTGAACTCTCAAAGACAAAAAATCAAGAAACAAATATTTATCAACCACCAAACTCTAAGGGGTTCAAAGAAGACTTACAAACATGGTTTACTGCATTGTGAAGGAGAAGCTGGGATGAGCTGGAGAAATTCTTAGAAGAACAAGGAACATTAGTGTTTCAGAGAGACTCGAGTGCTGGCTGAGATAATTATGCCAAGAGGCAAGCTATCTTCCGGTCTATTATTACCTGACCTTATTCTAAAGCTCTGGCCTCTTAAGCAGCCCGAGGTACTGGGCTGGAAAAGCAACTAGAATAGCCAGTTGGTGTCTCAAACAAGAGCATCATGATTAAAATTTTAATTTCAATATCTCTTTGAAGAAATATGTAATGAAAATATAATAGTAGTTTTATTTATTTTATTTTTAAAACCAGTGTAGACATTCTGAAAACATATAGTGCATTTCACCTATAACCAATAGATGTATCATGTGGTTGAACAATTTATGACAAGGATTCTGCAAAATGATTATGAAGAATTCAAGAAGGCAGTTAAAAGGCCCAGTTGGTTGAGCAATGTCCCATGGTTCAATTCCCGGTCAGGGCACATGCTCCAGTTGTGGGCTAGATCTGCAGTAAGGGATGTGGAGGAAGCAGCCGATTGATGTTTCCTCTCTCCCTCTCCCTTCCTCTCTCACTAAAATAATTTTTTTAAAAAAGTATTGAAAAAAAAAGAAGGCAGTTAAAGGTAAATCATTAATTTACTAAAAGGATTCCCTGCTGTTGCAAATACAGTGGGGCCTTGACTTACGAGTGTCCTGACTAACGAGTTTTTCGAGATATGAGCCGTCTCTCGGCTGATTTTTTGCTTTGAGTTGCGAGCTAAAATTCGGGTTACGAGCCAGCTTCAGATACCCCACCGCTAGTTGGCGCAGCAAACGTCACAGTGAACGCCACAACATCAGCCCAGCATCATGTGTCTCACTCGTTCACTTTTTGATTTGACATACGAGTAATTTGAGTTACGAGCTCCGTCACGGAACGAATTAAACTCGTAAGTCAGGCCCCACTGTAAAAGTATCTTCATGCATTCTATAAGTTAGACAAGTCAACATATTTACATTATTAGTCTGAACAAGCAACATGATCTAGAGAAAAATGATATATACATTTGATCATTTGTTGATAGCAAGTTAATATTTAATGTTACATCATTAATAAAACTTCAGTTATCTTTTGTATTTGAAATTATCATATATGTGTGGATATATACATATATACACTTATGCACACATATGCAAACACATAAGTTATATTAACTTTTGCTCTGGCCTGGTGGCTTGGTTGGTTGGTAGCTTGGTCATCCCACACACCAAAAGGTTGTAGGTTTGATTCCTGGTCAGGGTGTGTAGGGGAGGCAATCTGTCATATTGATGTTTTTCTCCCTTTTTCTCTCCCTGCCTCCATCCCCTTCTTCCTCTCACTCAAAAAATCAATAAAAACATATCTTCAGGTGAGGACTTGGAAAAAAAAAGGTATATTAACTTTTGTTTAATTTTTAGATACCAGCAGGAGGTAAAAAGCACTTTAATGTTCTTTTCTGTTTCTTTTTTCCTTTTTTCTTGTTTTAAGAGAACCTGCTGCTGCCTGGAGCTAAGCAGCTAAAGGTCATAATAAAACCACAATTCTACAGTCTCGCCAGAATCTTGAGCATTTTAGCCCATCACAACATTGATAGGATTCAGGCCCCAGGGAAAATGCAGTGAGCTCAGCGGGACAGGTCTGCTTTCCATAAGAGAAGAGGAAAAAAAGAGGGAAAGCTGATTAATTTTTCTCATAATCAGGAAGTTCATGTCAACAGTAAACTAGGAAAAGGAGCATTTGTTTAATCTGAGTTCGTTTTTCAAGAGAGAAGGGAGGCCTTCACCCACAGGGCATCTGATACTTAGAAAGATAATTATCCTTTGGCAGTGCTGTTTTATTATCATGGGTCAATGAACCGTTTAGAAATGAAGAATTTCCTTTCATTTCCTTTTAGCAGATCGCCAGTCTCCACTCCCACTAGTTGCTTTTCTTTGTTAAAGGAGACCTTCCCCCATCTTCCTCCTTCTTGCATTAATTTACACCCACCCTGGGCCCTGACTTCATCAAACCACAGCAAGATGAGGACCCTGCACGCTTCCAGCCATCCACACAAAGAAACTGGGTGGGGAAGAAACAACATTTTATTTAAACAATTACTTACTGTGAACACTGGTGGGATGAATCTGACAATCTTTGTAACTTTAGTCATATCAATGACATCTGAAAGGGTTTTCTCAGTATCATAAAAAATCTTATCGTATTATCTGTCCATTTTGTGAATCTGATGCTAAGGATTGGCTTGTCCAAATGTCTAATGATTTAAAATACTTATGGAACCAAATAAAAATGTCTGAATTTGTCAGATGTTTCATCCTGTGCAGTATATCCAACCAGAGAGTAATACATCACACATATTTATTATTTTAATTAAACATTAACAAGGGTAATACAACATGTCACAAAACAGTTAAATAGGCTAAACACATTCTCATCTAGGTGCCTATTTTTCACTAGCCTATTTAGCAACACTGACCTGATATATACTAGGACATACTCTGCAACCCAACCCTTTGTTAATAAGTCATTTTATCTGCACATAACACACACACATTTCTATGCAAATAATAAGATAAATAAAGACCACTTTTCATATGGGTGAAGTGTTCATATGGGTGATGGATGATCATTTTTCTTCATTTTGTTAGAACTTAGAGGGTGGCCAAGGAGGCATCTCAACCCGGAAGTGGCTGCAAAGGTGGGCTCCACACAACTCTAGAGGCGGTTGATGGGTCTGGAGCTACATAGGGTGAAGTTCTGGAGCTCTGGGCTGTGTGAGTAGTTGACCTGGCCAGTAGCAGGTTGACTAGCCACACTCCCTGGGCCATTCTAGACTCTAATCAGAAAGTCAGGACCAACCACTGTCCTTCTGTTCCTAACAGGAGTGGGAACATCTGGCATGCGGGCCATATAAAGCCCATAAAATCATTTGGTCTGGCCCTGCCAAGGCATTAGGGGTGAGTTCATTAAATGTTTGATCAAATATAGCAGGCTAATTGTTAGGTTGATAATTTTGTATGGCCCGTGAATGAGTGATGTTATAAATATCCAAATATCCAAACCTTGGCAGCAAAAAGGTTCCCCACCCCTGCTTTAAAGCTATAGCACAGAGTTTCTCAACCTGTGGGTCGCGACCCCTTTGGCGGGTGAACGACCCTTTCACAGGGGTCGCCTAAGACCATCCTGCATATCAGATATTTACATTACGATTCATAACAGTAGCAACATTACAGTTATGAAGTAGCAACGAAAATAATTTTATGGTTGGGTCACAACATGAGGAACTGTATTTAAAGGGCCAGAAGGTTGAGAACCACTGCTATAGCAGAAAAGAGCCTCTTCCTAAACCTCACCACAGGCCACATCCTGACTAATGCCCACCCACCTCCCGACCTCCCTCCCCTTCCCCACCCTCTCCTGCACACTGTGCACCTGTCACGTTTGCTTTCTTTCTGTTCCTCAAACACAGTAAGCTCCTTCCCAGATATACAGCCTTTATCCTGGCTGTGTGTTCTTCCTAAAATGCATATGGTCGCTACTTTCTTTATTATTCAGATTCTGATTCCAATGCCGCTCTCTCAATGGGACACTTAACTGCTGGGTGGTTTAAACTGCTACCTGCTTACTCACTCTTACATCACCCTATGTTCATCTTGCCGTGGCCTTTGCCACCAGCTGGTAGTTTTCTTAGTTGCCACCTTCCCAGGTGAGAAAATAAACTTGACAAGAGTGAGAACTTAGTCTTGTTTACTGATATTTCATCACCGCCTATACCACCAGAGACATTTAATAAGTATTGCTGGAATGAATGAATAAATAATAAACCAGATCCCGATATCAGTCACCTTGGAGTACTAGAACCCTGAGGAAATTCACTTACTTTTCAATTATCTATACAAGATTGGGATAGTTTGCAAGATTTTTTTTAATTCAAAGAGATTTATCCTTAATATCCAACATAGTTAGAACTAATGCTGGATGAGAGCTAAGGAAATGTAAACTCATTTGTAATGTAAACTAATTTTCACATGAGCCCAAAGGAAATATAATTATGAAGGTAAAATCCTTTTTAAATATCCTTTTATAATTAGAAAGAAGTGGTTTCTAGAATATTCGGAATCTCAGATAAACTATGTATAGAAAAATACTGCTTTATACTATGAATAGGAAATGTCATTCATTTTTTCACTCAGCAAACTGTGAGCACCAGTTAGTGTAGACAGTATGTGAGGCTCTGAGGTAGCAAAGGAGAGAAAGAAGCTGCTCTTGCCCTCCAGGCCAGGCTGCAGGCATTGAGGCAGAGGGCTGCAGTCCTGGGGGAGGCACAGATGACACATAGAAGCAGAGAAACCTGGGGCACCTTCGTAAGGCAAGGGTTCCAGGGTAACCATGAGTAAACTCCGAATTGGATAGATCAGTCCATGGCTACTTGGACATATAAACGGGTTCATAAAGGATTTAGAGCAGGTAAGCAAACTTTTTCTGCAAAGGACCAGATGTAAATATTTAGGGTTTGGTGGGCCATATGCCCAAGCAGCCACAGACAATGCAAACACTAATAGGTGTGGCTATAAACAAAAAGAGGAGGCTGGCCAGATTTGGCCCATGGGCCTTAAAGTGTCAACTCCAGGTATAGAGGAATCGCATTCGAAGAGCTAGCTAAGGGAAATCGGAAGTACTGTGGGCCTATTCTTGTTTCCCTAAATTGAGGACTGTAATGCTAGCTTAATAGCATATTAGATGAAGATTAGAGTATCGCACAAAATTTAACTGTCCAAGAAAAATATCTGAGCA